CAAGACCTCCAGTAGGACCAGTGTAAGGAGAGGGAGCAGGCAGAGGGGAGGCGGGCTCTAACTGTGACTTAGACTGGAAAGGCGGTGGACACTCTACAGGAGGAGAAAGAACCTGCAGCAGGAGCAGAACGAAGTACGGCCGAGGCCGCGCGGCAACTCCAGACACAGCAGAGACAGCACCAGCACCCTCAGAGGCAGCACCAGCGCCAACAGCACCTCCAGCTGCAGGACCTCCAGCAGCACCAGCAGCACCCGCAGCAAGTCCACCGCCAGGACGGACAGCAGTAGTTTCAGCACCAACACCCTCAGCAGCTCTAGCTCCAGTCGGACCCGCAGGCTCAGCAGCTCCGGGACCGGCGGCACCAGCACCCTCAGCGGCCGAAGAAGCTCCAGCTCCAGTAGTACGGCTCCAGCGGCGAGTAAACCACTCGCACAGCTCCTGTGGAGAGAGGGGCTCCCGCCGAGACAAAGCACCCGGAGAACCTCCAGACTCAGCACCCCCAGACGCCACAAGGGGAGGTCCAGCGACCGCAGGCTCCGCACCTCCAGGCTCAGCAGCTCCAGACGCAGCACCCCCTGGCTCAGCACTCCCAGGCTCAGCACCCCCAGGCTCAGCACCCCCAGGACCAGCACCCCTACTCGCAGTACCCCCAGGCTCAGCACCCCCAGTCGCAGCACCCCCAGACTCAGCACCCCCAGGCTCAGCACCCACGCGCACAGCACCCCCAGAGTCAGCACCCCCAGGCTCAGCACCAGAAGCAGTACCAGAGTCACCAGCAACCTCGACCGGCTCGAGTGCGTCTACCTGGGACACACCTGAAGGGGCAGGACCCTGAGGGGGAAGGGGGTCTACCGGGGGGGGACCTGGCACGAGGAAGTGCGGTGGCGGGGGGAGGGAAGGAGTGCGGTAGGGGAAGAAGCGGTAGAAGGGGACTGACTCGTCGAACGTGACGTCCTGGGAGGACAGAACACGACGAGAGGAGGGGTGGTAGAACTGCCACCCTGGTGCGTCAGGGGGGAAGCCAAGGAAGACACTGGGAGCAGCACGAGGGGACAGCTTGTCCGCAGACAAGTCGCGGACAAACGCCCAAGATCCCCAGACACGGAACGCAGACGCATCGCCGACCTTCCCCGTCCACCGCAGAGCTGGGGAGGTCTCCGGCCGGGAGACGCTGGGGTGAAGGTTGATCTGATGCGCCGCGTACCGAACCGCAAACGGCCACAGAAAATGGGGGGCAGCCGCATGCATCATGGACGTACGAGCGACGTCCATGACCATGCCAATGCGGCGCTCAGCAATCCCATTTTGCTGTGGAGAGTCCGGAAGCGTGAAGGTCTGGCGGATGCCTCGCGCATGACAGAAGGCTCGCAGAAGGCCAGAGGAGAACTCTCCACCTCGGTCAGAGTGCAGACGCAGAACAGGAAAGTCTGAGCCGAAGCTCCTCCTGAGCTGGAGACGAGCTGCGCGGATCCAGTCGATCAACACCGCAGTGACATCACCCTTGCTGCGCAAGGGGAAGATTGTGGTGTAACGCGAGTAGTCGTCAACCACCAGCAGGAAGTAGCGCTCGTGACCCTGTCCACGGACGCGGGCCGGGCCCCACACGTCCAAGTGAAGCGTCTGCAGCGGAGCCTCTGTCGGGGGAAACTGAGAGGAGTGAGGGGCAGCCCGGAGCCGCCCCTCGACACACGGGACACAGGAAGGGCCAGGCCCCGAAGGAAGGGGAGGGAGGGACTGGGGGAGACCAGAGACAAGGACACGGGAGGCCATGCCCCGAAGACGAGGCAGGGAGGGGTGACCAAGACGGTGGTTCCACAGGAGAGTCTCGTGAGACAGGAGGCGACACGAGCAGGGGGCAGACTCAGGACCAGACCTGGACGCAGCAGCAAACACCTGACCCGACGCAGCTACCTGGCCAGACGCAAAGACAGGAGGAGACGCAGTGGTCAGGGTGTAGAGACTCGACCCCGGCCTGGGTGAAAACGTGGCCAGGTGTCGGCCTGTGCGGGCATCCGAGCAGTGGGTCACCCGCTGACTCGCAGGAGTGAACTGGTGAACCCCCGCATCCTGCAGGTCAGCACCAGTCACCAAGTTCTTCGAGAACGAGGGGAGGTACAGACCAGACAAGGTGCCCGAGGGGGCAGCCGGACACGGGAGAACTGTGGAGAAGTGAGAGAGGACAGGACCCCCAGAGGGGTCAGCCAGGGAGACTGCAACCGGCCGACCAAGCGGCGTGAGTGTGGTGTGGTCTCGAAAGAAGGAGCGAGAAGCCCCCGAGTCAAGCGTGAAGGTGAGGGAGGCCGAAGCCGGCGCGGTACCTGAGAGCGCAGCCTCACCAGTACCTGAGGGCGCAGACGCGCTGGCACCCAGAGCAGCAGCCTCACACGCACCTAGCGCAGCAGTACCTATGCCTGGGTCGGGCGGGAAACACCGGTAACAGTCACCCTCATCACTAATAGTCACAACATACATGGCAGCAAGGATAGCATCAAAGTCAAGATCACAGATAGCTACGCCTGCCCTACACAGCTCTCCCCAGCGGGGGATCTCACTAGCCTCGGGGAACTGCTGACGCCAAGCGTCCGTCAGGCGGCCAAAGCAGCGCTGGGTGGGGTGGGCACCCCCACACTGCTCACCCGCGCGGTCGACGGAGCGAAGGACGTAGGTGCACGGACCAAAACCCCCACCATGCTGACGCTGCGTGTACCACTCACGGAGCTGCTGAGGGGGGGGGATGTCCCGAGAACGCTGCTGCTGCTGCTGCTGCTGGCGCTGACCACCACTAGAGCCGCTCCGCTGCGAGGCACCACCCCGACCAGCTCCACCTCCTCCGCCACCGCCGCCTCCACCTCCGCCACCACCGCCACCTCCGCTCCCACCGCTACCGCCGCCGCCGCCTCCGCCTCCACTGCCGCCACCACCACCACCACCTCCGCCACCACTCCCACCGCCACCCCCACTCCCTCCGCCGCCTCCACCGCCACCTCCACCACCCCCGCTAGCTCCACCCTCGCCCTTGCCCCCCTTGCCCTTGCCAGAGTGGCGTCTCCCGCTAGGGGCAGACGCCGCACCGACCGACTCAAGACCAAGTAGGTCGGCCGCGGCAGCAGAGGCGACAGAGGGCAACAGGGGGGAAGGGGAACACCCCTCAAAGATGGGGGTGCGAGGGTCACCACGAGAGGCTCCTACAGCGACTTTTCTCTTCTCCGCTGCTAGGAGGGCCTTCTCTAGGAGGTCAACAGTGAGAGTGGTGGGACAGACTGAGAGAAAGTGGTCCCTGACTACGCGAAGGGAGTCAGGGAGGCGGGTGACTATGTAATAGAGAGTGATGTACATGGGGGGGGGGGATTCTTGGCGTAGAACTCAGCAGGCAGCGCGGCGCGGTAGCGAGTGTCACTAGTGCGGAGGTGCGTAATGAGGTCAGCAACTGTGGGAAATGCAGCAAGGTCAGGGAAGAGGTACGGTAGCATGAGGCGGCTCAGTGCAGCAGTGGCAGGGGAAGAGTAGCGCGCAACGACAGCGTCGTACAAGGTCTGAGCACTCTTGTACTGACTAAAGTGTGCGCGCTCAGTGGTAGGAAGGTGGCGACGCACAGCAAGACGTGCAGCAGCATCGCGGGTGGCCCACTGAGAGCGAACAGTGGAGTCAGCATCAGAAGCAGGGGCAGGAGAGGCGCCAGAGGTGAGGTCAAAGAGAGAAAGACCGTCCGCCCTATCGCACTGTAAGAACAGCTGCAGGTCGTCGACCTAGACCTCAAAGTCAATGGCTCGACCCTCAGCGTCAAAAGCGAGGACACTAGGGGTAGCCATGACGACGGTAGACTAGCAGTGCAAGCAGTAGGGGAAGGGCACGCAGTGAGAGAGAGGTTGTGCTCACCGGACAGGGCTGCTCGGGCGGCTCAACTGTAGGGCGGCTCGGCGGCTGGGCGGCTCGGCTGCTGGGCGGCTCGGCGGCTCGGCTGCGGGGCGGCTCGGCGGCTGGGCGGCTCGGCTGCACGGCGGCTCGGCTGGTGGGCGGCCGAGCGGCTCTGCGGCAGGGCGGCTCGGCTCCTCTGGTACAGGGCGGCGCGGCGGTCGGCGGCTCGGGCGCGTTGCTGCAGGAGGGGAGACCGGCGGGGCCGCAGCAGACTGGCGGCGGGGCCCGTTGACGTAGGGCGGCGGGGCCGCAGGTGTAGGGCGGCGGGGCCGCAGCAGACGGGCGGCGGGGCCGCAGACGTAGGGCGGCGGGGCCGCTGAAGTAGGGCGGCGGGGCCCATTGAAGTAGGGCGGCAGGGCCGCAAAGTGGGGCGGCGGGGCCGCGAAGTGGGGCGACGGGGCCGCAGCAGACGGGCGGCGGGGCCGCTGAAGAAGGGCGGCAAGGCCGCGAAGTGGGGCGGCGGGGCCGTAGCAGACGGGCGGCGGGGCCGCTGAAGCAGGGCACCGGGGCCGCGAAGTGGGGCGGCGGGGCCGCTAAACAGGGCGGCGGGGCCGCTAAACAGGGCGGCGGGGCCCGTGAAGTAGGGCGGCAGGGCCGCAGGAGTAGGGCGGCGAGGCCGTAGAGTAGGGCGGCAGGGCCGCGACGTAGGGCGGCGGGGCCGCGAAGTAAGGCGGCAGGGCCGCAGGAGTAGGGCGGCGAGGCCGCAGTTAGGGCGGCGGGGTCGCGACGTAGGGCGGCGGGGCCGCGAATGCAGGTGGCGGGGCCACGCTAGTAGGTGGCGGGGCCGCACGAACGCGCGACGGGGCCGCTAAGGTAGGGAGGGCCGCCAGGGCGTATGGGCCGCTAGAGCGGCTCGACGAGGTGAGAGCGCGACTCGGGCGGAGCGCGCTTCGGGCAGGAAAAAAAATTTCGAAAATTGGTGGGCCCTAGGCACAGTTCTCAAAGGGGAACCTGCTCGATACCATGAGAAAATGAGAACAAGAATGAATGAACTATGAATGAACTGAGTACAAGTACTAACCCTAATTGGGTTGTACCCCTTGTGGGCTACCCCACTATAGCCTACACAATATGCAAAAGCTATATGTTCTTACACATTCTCCCGCTTTCCATCACCCGCCCTATTCTCCCTCATTCCATCACCCCGCCCCATTCTCCCTCTTTCCATCACCCCCCCCCATTCTCCCTCTTTCCATCACCCCGAACCATTTTCCCGCTTTCCATCACCCCGCCCCATTCTCCCTCTTTCCATCACCTCGCCCCATTCTCCCGCTTTCCATCACCCGCCCCATTCTCCCGCTTTCCATCACCCAGCCCCATTCTCCCGCTTTCCATCACCCCGCCCTATTTCCCCTCATTCCATCACCCCACCCCATTTTCCCTATTTCCATCACCCTGCCCCATTCTCCCTCTTTCCATCACCCCGCCCCATTCTCCCGATTCCCATCACCTGCCCCATTCTCCCGCTTTCCATCACCCCGCCCCATTCTCCCGCTTTCCATCTCCCCGCCTTATTCTCCCTCTTTCCATCACCCCACCCCATTCTCCCTCTTTCCATCACCCCGCCCCATTCTCCCTCTTTCCATCACCCTGCCTCATTCTCCCGCTTTCCAGCACCCCGCCCCATTCTCCCGCTTTCCATCACCCCGCCCCATTCTCCCGCTTTCCATCACCCTGCCCCATTCTCCCGCTTCCCGTCACCCCGCCCCATTCTCCCTCTTTCCATCACCCCGCCCCATTCTCCCGCCTTCCGTCACCCACCCCATTCTCCCGCTTTCCATCACCCCGCCCCATTCTCCCGCTTTCCATCACCCCGCCCCATTCTCCCGCTTTCCATCACCCCGCCCCATTCTCCCGTTTTTCATCACCCCGCCCCATTCTCCCGCTTTCCATCACCCCGCCCCATTCTCCCTCTTTCCATCACCCCGCCCCATTCTCCCGCCTTCCGTCACCCACCCCATTCTCCCGCTTTCCATCACCCCGCCCCATTCTCCCGCTTTCCATCACCCCGCCCCATTCTCCATCTTTCCATCACCCCGCCCCATTCTCCCGCTTTCAATCACCCCGCCCCATTCTCCCTCTTTCCATAAGCTCGCCCCATTCTCCCGCTTTCCATCACCCTGCACCATTCTCCCGCTTTCCATCACCCCGCCCCATTCTCCCGCTTTCAATCACCCTGCCCGATTCTCCCGCTTTCCATCACCCCGCCCCATTCTTCCATTTCCATCACCCCACCCCATTCTCCCGCTTTCTATCACCCTGCCCCATTCTCCCTCTTTCCATCACCCCGCCCCATTCTCCCGCTTCCCATGACCTACCCCATTCTCCCGCTTTCCATCACCCCGCCCTATTTTCCCTCTTTCCATCACCCCGCCCCATTCTCCCTCTTTCCATCACCCCGCCCCATTCTCCCGCTTTCCATCACCCCGCCCCATTCTCCCGCTTTCCATCACCCACCCCATTCTCCCGCTTTCCATCACCCCGCCCCATTCTCCCGCTTTCCATCACCCCGCCCCATTCTCCCGCTTTCCATCACCCCGCCCCATTCTCCCGCTTTCCATCACCCCGCCCCATTCTCCCTCTTTCCATCACCCCGCCCCATTCTCCCGCCTTCCGTCACCCACCCCATTCTCCCGCTTTCCATCACCCCGCCCCATTCTCCCGCTTTCCATCACCCTGTCCCATTCTCCATCTTTCCATCACCCTGCCCCATTCTCCCGCTTTCAATCACCCCGCCCCATTCTCCCTCTTTCCTTAAGCTCGCCCCATTCTCCCGCTTTCCATCACCCTGCACCATTCTCCCGCTTTCCATCACCCCGCCCCATTCTCCCGCTTTCAATTACCCTGCCCGATTCTCCCGCTTTCCATCACCCCGCCCCATTCTTCCATTTCCATCACCCCACCCCATTCTTCCGCTTTCTATCACCCCGCCCCATTCTCCCTCTTTCCATCACCCCGCCCCATTCTCCCGCTTCCCATGACCTACCCCATTCTCCCGCTTTCCATCACCCCGCCCTATTTTTCCTCTTTCCATCACCCCGCCCCATTCTCCCTCTTTCCATCACCCCGCCCCATTCTCCCTCTTTCCATCACCCCGCCCCATTCTCCCTCTTTCCATCACCCTTCCCCATATTCCCGCTTTCGATCACCTGCCCCATTCTCCCGCTTTCCATCACCCCGCCCCATTCTCCCGCTTTCCAGCACCCCGCCCCATTCTCCCGCCTTCCATCACCCCGCCCGATCCTCCCGCTTTCCATCATCCCGCTCCATTCTCCCGCTTTCCATCACCCCGCCCCATTCTCCCGCTTTCCATCACCCCCCCCCCCCCCCCCACCATTCTCCCTCTTTCCATTTCCCCACCCCATTCTCCCGCTTTTCATCACCCGCCCTATTTTCCCGCTTTTCATCACCCCGCCCCATTCTCCCGCTTTCCATGTTTCGCCCCATTCTCCCGCTTTCCATCACCCCGCCCCATTCTCCCGCTTTCCATCTCCCCGCCCCATTCTCCCGCTTTCCATCACCCCGCCCCATTCTCGCGCTTTCCATCACCCCGCCCCATTCTCCCGCTTTCCATCACCCCGCCCCATTCTCCCTCTTTCCATCAACCCGCCCCATTCTCCCGCCTTCCGTCACCCACCCCTTTCTCCCGCTTTCCATCACCTCGCCCCATTCTCCCGCTTTCCATCACCCTGCCCCATTCTCCATCTTTCCATCACCCCGCCCCATTCTCCCGCTTTCAATCACCCCGCCCCATTCTCCCTCTTTCCATAAGCTCGCCCCATTCTCCCGCTTTCCATCACCCCGCCCCATTCTCCCGCTTTCCGGCACCCTGCCTGATAGGGTTTAGGGTATTCACTGTATTTGTACAGAGAGAATAATGCTTCGGCCGGTAAGGTCAGTATGCACGCTTGTGTGTAGGTTCAAGGCGGAACTGGAACTCTGAAATCTCCCAAACTATGTGGATCGGAAAGGTTATAACCAAGTGTTGTTGAAGTAGAAGGCCTCATCTAGTGGACTGGCAAGAATATGGCACTAACTGCATCTCTACGAACATATGTATTGCGCTGGTCATTTTGGTTGGTATGCGCGTCTGTAGTGCAGGTACCATGTACGACTAGAATGTCTGAATCTGCCAAATTACATAGATCCGATAGGTTAAAACATGATAGGGGGATGGGCAATGATATAATTTAAAGGAAGTTGGAATACATATGGTATTCGTTGTATTTGTACAGAGAGAATTATGCGTCGGATGGTAAGGTCAGTATGCACGCTTGTGTCTAGGTACAAGGCGGAACTGGAACTCTGAATTCTCCCAAACTATATGGATCAGAAAGGTTATGACCAAGTGTTGTTGAAGTAGAAGGCCTAATCTAGTGGACTGGAAAGAATATGGCACTAACTGCGGAGATAACTGCTACAACGGGCGCTAGACTACGGGCTAGGCACGAGTGCTCATGTGATCTCTGCGTTCTCTGTTCCTTAGTCGTTTTCCTTGTGCGCACACTACTTGCTAGTTCACGGGGAAAGTTGGCAAGAGTTCCACTAGGAAAAAATTCAGAACAATGGTACAATGAAGCTGGCATAGCAAGACTACATCAGAGCAAGCATTCAGGTCGGCCAACTGCCAACGCAGCTTGGTCGACCGCGCTCCAGCAAGGCAAGGTCGACGGCGTGCCAACGTCTCAGGTTGACGGCGTGCCAGCGTTGCTCACGCAGGACAGCAGTGCACCCGCTTCGCAGGTGCGCGCAAATGATTGGCGTGCAGAGTCTCGTCACCTGCACAGCGCACACACCACGTCAACCTCGAGCTGACGACTGCCTCTGATCCGCCACGACGACCTCGGGATACCACCACCGAGGTCGGGCTCGTCAACTTCGCCTGAGCGACTGTCGCACTCCTCCGCAGCACTTCGTCACCCAGGTAACCTGGTCGACCGGGCAACCACGTCGACCATCAGCTCCCGTACGTGCCCGTCGACCTTTCAAGTCGACGACCACCTCCATCGGTCAACCACCTCCAGGTCGACGTCCCTTCTGGTCGACCAGCTCCACGTCGACCAGTACTCCTGGTCGACCTGCTCCTCGTCGACCAGCACAGTTGTCGGCCGACCACCCACGTCGGCCACCCGAAGTTGGCGTCACGAAGTTGACGCCCCGCTACTCGACGCCCAGCTGCTTGGCGTCCTGAGTCGAGGTCGACGTCGGCCCCTCCTTCGTCGACCACCAGGTCCAGTCGACCACCCGCAGGTCGACCAGCAGTCCGTTAGCCGACCAACGAAGTCGGCTTCCCCAAGTTGACGTCTCCAAGTTGACGTCCTCTGCAGGTCAACTCCCAAGTCGACCTCCCCGAAGTTGGCGCCACCCTGAAGCCGGCGCCCGTGCAGTGGTCCCCGTGCAGGTCGACCTACTCGTCAACCAGCTCGCCCACTGCTGCAGGTCGGCTGCTCCCCACACACCCGACCACGAAGTCGGCTCCGCCCAAGCGAGGACGGGGCCAACACACAACTCCCGTTGACACGCCCCTGCCGCGTTCACGCTTGGGCCCCCAGCCCACACAACAGTACTCCTTGGAGACTAGCTCGTCGGCGTGCACCCAACACACAGCACGTCGTCCACCGCACCAGCCATGCAAGAGGGCATGGCACCTACTGCTGCACGTCGTCGACTTCGTTGCCCACGTCGGCCAAGCGCACCTGGCCGATGGCGACGGAGCACCGGTTGAAGGCCGGATAGTGCAGCGCCTTTGTCAAGAAGTCGGCCAGCTGCTCAGCAGTTGGGATGTACTGCAGCGAGAACTTACCGCGCTTCACCATGTGCTGCAGCCAGGCCTGTCGCCGCTCCATGTGCTTGAGGTTGCCTGTCAACCCCATACCCTCGGCGACCGTGATGGACGACTTGTTGTCCACGCGCAGGACAGTCGGCTTCCCGGCGTCAAGCTGCCGGAACTCGGCGAGGAGGAAGCGAAGGCGGGGTCCCTCCTTGCCAGCTTCAGTGGCCGCCACGTACTCCGACTCGGTCGACGACAACGTCGCGCACTTGATGCGCTGGCTCGACCAGGAGATTGCAGCCCCTCCGTAGACGAACACTTAGCCGCCCGTGCTCGTCCTGTTCTGCTTGTCACCGGCGTCGTCGGCGTCAACATAGCCGACCAGCTCCAGCGACTCAGGTCCACCGCCGAACTCCAGGGCAGTGTCACGTGTGTTGGCGAGGTAGGCGAGGCAGCGGTCGACCTCACGCCAGTGCTGGTCGCTCCTCACCGTGAGGCCGCTCCCCAGCTTGCTGCAGGCGAAGGCGATGTCCGGCCTCGTCGTCGTCGCCGCGAACTGCAGCGAGCCGACCTTCTGCTGGTACTCCTCCTCCTGTCGCTCCTGCGCCTCCTCGTCGTCGAAGGTGAGCTCGGTGTAGGCACCGACCGAGACCGGCGTCTTCGGGGTGCGCCCGGTCTGCTCCTCGTCGGTGAAGCGCCTACGCAGCTTGTCGGCGTAGCCCTGCTGGTGCAGCCACAGCTTCCCCGCCGACCTGTCGCGCACGATCTCCAGCCCGAGGTACTTCTGCACCGGCGAGATCTCGCGCAGCTCGAAGGCGGCTTCTAGCAGCTCCTTCAGCTCTTTCAGCATCGCGGCGCTGCTGCTGGCGGCAAGCAAGTCGTCGACGTCAACCAGCACCCAGCAGGCCACTCCGTCCTTGCCGACCTTGAAGTAGAAAGCCTCGTCGACCTGGCTCTTCTTCCACCAGGCGCCGACCAGCACATCGTTGAGCGCCAAGTACCACAACAGCGGCGACTGCTTCAGCCCATACAGGCTCTTCAGCAGCTTGCACACCCGGCCGGTTCCGTCGTTGAAGTAGTCCGGCTGGGACATGTACAGCACCCGATCGAGCTTGCTCTGCAGGAAGGCGTTCTTCATGTCGAGCTGCATCAGGTTGAGGTTGAGGACGGCGACGATGCTGAGGAAGATCCTCAGCGTGACGTAGCTGCTTACCGGCGCGAACGTCTCGTCGTAGTCGGCGCCGTACACGTGTGTGAAGCCCTTCACGACCAGCCTCGCCTTCTCTCGCTCGACGGTGTCGTCGATGTGGTACTTCGTCGTCAACACCCACCGGTTCTTCATGACGTTCACTCCCGGCGGGCGTTCGACCAGCTCCAAAGTGCCCATGTTGATGAGGCTGCGAATCTCCTCCTCCATGGCGGCCTTCACCGCAGGGCCCTTCCAGCTTGCCAACGCCTCCTTCACCGTCATCGTCGAGATGTCCCAACGGTGCTCGGGGTCGGCTAGCATGTCGAGGTCGAGCTCTGGAAACTCCTCATCTTCCTCGGCGTCGTCGTACAGCAGGTCGTCATCATCATCGTCCACGTCGTACACCGTGGTGAAGGCAGCGGGGACAAAGAAGTCAAGCGGCCTCCGAAGTCGGCCTGAACGCCGTGGTCCCGGCTGAACCTCCTCGGCGTCCCCTCCATCGTCGCCGTCGTCGCTGCCCTTGGCGTCCTGCTGCTCCTTAGCTGGCGTCCCAGCCGACTTCTCCCCTGTGGTCGGCGTCCCTGCCGACTTCTCCCCTGTGGTCGGCTCCCCTGCCGACGACCCGGTCGCCGACTGCTCCTTGGTCGGCGTCGCTGCTGCCTGCTCCCCTATCGGCTGTTGCTCCTCGACCTGCTCCTCCCCTGTCGACGTCGACTGCAACCCCACATCGATTTGCCGCTCGTCACGTCGGCCACCGGCGATGCACTTGGCCGGCGCCGAAGGCGGCGTCCCACTACTCCCCTTATCGCCGGAGGCCGACACCGTGGTCAGCCCACGCAGGTCGGCCACGAGGGGAGGGGCACGGGTCGGAGGGGGAGGGGTAAGGGGGCAGACGTCCTCGACGTCCTCAGTAGCAAGCTCACCAACCTTGGCAAGCAGCGGCAGCGTCGCCGACGAGGTGTCAGAAGGCGGGTTGGACGACGAGCGGCCGGACACCGGCCCATGCTCCATCTTCCACTCGGCCAGCGACATCTCCTCGTAGAACACCACCTCCGACGTGGTGACCACCCGGTCGGTGTCGACGTCGAGGAGCTCCCAGCCCTTGCTCGCCGCCGACACGCCAAGGTGCAGGCCCCATTTGGCCTTCGGCTGCAGCTTCCCACCACGCTGCTGCTCGGGGACTAAGTACTGCGCCATGCAGCCCCACACCCGCGCCAGCGACAAGTCGGGCTTCTTCCCGGTCAGCAGCTGGTACGGCGTCGTCCCCGGCGGCAGCGCCGACCTCTCAAGGCAGTTGCGGACCCAGACGGCCTGCCGGAGAGCGAGGTGCCACCATGGGTGCTGCACGCCCATATGCAGCAGCATTGTCCGCACCGACTCCACCACCGTCCTCATCTCCCGCTCCGCCATGCCGTTCTGCTGCGGGGTGTATGGGCAGGTCAGGTCGTGGACGATCCCCTTGCCGTTCACGAAGTCGGTGAACTGCTTCCCGAGGAACTCCCCTCCCCGGTCAGAGCGCAGCATCAACACCGACCGCTTCGTCTGCCTCTCAGCTGTCGCCAGCCACTCCACGAACTCCCGCAACGCATCTGACTTCTTGGCGACCGGCCTCACCCACACGTAGCGGGTCTTGCGATCCTTCAGCAGCAAGAAGTACAGGCTGCCATCCTTGGCAGCAATGCGGAACGGCCCGCACAGGTCGATGTGCACAACGCCCAGCACGTCGTCGACGTCGGAGCCTTTGTCGGGGAAGGTGTGTCGCGCCAGCTTCCCGACGACGCACAAAACACACGGTGAGTCGGCGCCGAACGCCGACTTGAGGTCCAGCCTGGTGGCGACCTCGTGCTTCGCCGAGCTCCGTATGGTGTCCATGCCGACATGTGCAAGC